AGGCTACTACATGATAACTATAAAACCATGTCTTTCATGCAATGGTGTAGGATTTGTTATCACACCACTTTGCAAGTACCCTCTTGTTTCTTTACTTTTTTATAATTTAATCCTACTACTTTTCCATTTTTAATGTTTTTTTATTTACTTGTTTCCATTCTTTTTTCCTAAATTAATAAATTACTATCTGTTATGATTATGTGGTTAGGTTAATCATTTGATGCTGATCACGTGCGCATAAATTAAAATGGCGTCAAACCACAAACCCACACGGTGCTGCAGCTGGAATTTGTCTTCCATTGTTCTCTGCCCTTGCTTCTTTTTGAAGCCACATGTCCAGTCCTTGACCCAAGCTCAAAGGAATGATGTAAAAGCCAACTTGAGCAGTTGTCTGGCTTAAAAGATTTCCATGTTGATAAAAGAAGATGAAAGAAGAAGAAGAAAAAGTCTGAAGAATTTTGCAGAAATTTGAATTTGGGTCTATTCTCCAGAAATGCTCCCGCTATAGTACAGTCCACTTTAAAGGTACCAGGAAAATCGCTCAGTGAAGGAGAGCTCATCTAAGCCATTTATTTATAAGGCTGTACAACGTAAGATAAAAGAGTTATAAGTGTTTGAAAATCATAAAAACGGCCGCCATCTTGAAAAACCAACCTCAATCCTACATAGTGGCTACTGCCTATATAATATACAAGTAGATGCTTCCTCAAGCTTTAAGAAGTTCTAAGAGTGTGGTCCATGTTTCAAATCTCCCTGTTAGCTCAAGTTTTATTTTATTTTTATAATTTTTTGGAGGCCCCAACTTTTTGGATGCCTGGACTTTTATTTGAGAAAATACAGTACATGTATATACATGTCCATGTACAATGTATGCATTGGGAAAATTATAATAACAGGTTATTTTATTTTCAATGTTGGCAAGATTTGCCCCGTGACCCTATACTATAGTATAGGGACTTTGGCCCAATTTTCCCAATTTTCAAGCTATGTAAAAAACCAATTTTGATCAGACTCAGCTCTAACTTTCTACGCAGTATAAGTACATGAACATGAACATTATAATAATGTATCTGGAAAAGGTATTAAAAATTTAGTCTCGCTAGCCAGACTCTAATTTACCGAATAAGAGTCTGGTGCCATGCCTAATATCAACTCATGTTATCAATGTTTTGTTTTGCGTGGGCAAAGAATGTTAATCTCTATAAACATGCACATGCACTACAATATTGTGGATTTATTATTTTTATACTAATTTTATACTTGCTTGTATACTTATTTTATACTTCAGACTTGCTTCTGACATCAAGAAAAATAAAGCAGTCAAGTACTTCTCATTTTTGGCTTTTTTCGGTAGTACTAAAGTTGGAGCAATCATGGCAGCTGAATTCATCTCGGATCCAAGCACATTATTTCTTGAAGCATTTCTTTACTTGCCTGATTGTCTAACCATCAGAGCAGATAAAGGCAATCCAGTCGGCAGTTGTAGTCATAGAAGAAAGTATAATAGCTCACTCAGTTCCATTCTTGATAGTAGACTTGCTGTGCGCGGGCAGATTCTAATGTAACCATGGTAACAGTGATCTGATTAGGTTGACCAAATTCTGCCAGACAAGCACGAGTTGATGTTAGGCATGAAACCAGACTCTATTCTAAAAATTGAGTCTGGCCCCGCAAGACTATTAAAAATTTCTTTCCCTTTCAATTTTGTTGAAATAGTAATGTATGGTTATACAGTAGGTTGGGTTATATTTGCTGCTGCTAATATTCCTGGTGAAAAAGCTAATAAAGAAGTTCAATTAAATACCATGGAAACCAATTGATAGTTGCTATGACAATTGACCAGGTGTTTATACAATTATAGTGTTCAGCAGCTAATCAGCTATTCTTTAGCAGCTTTAGTGGAGCCATCCAGACTCCAATTCTCTATCTGTCATCTTCTTGTATAGATGGACCGCTGCCTTCAAGTTTTGGTGCAAGATCAGTGCTGGTCGGTCCATAGGTATTAGAGTAACAGGGATAGGAAACTTCCGTTCGTGGGAAATCAAGCTACCTTCCCCATACCGTATTAATTCTTTCTAATTGTTGGTATATTTCATTTTTACACTGAGCAATGGTGGCTAGTTTTTGATGTTGCAGGTCTTTCTCATCGTCTTTCAGCTTGTTCAGGTCCACTGTATCAACTTGAAAATGAACTTGTAATGGAGCCATGTCTATATTCTTCCTTTATTTTAGCTATCTGATGTTTATTTTATTATTTGGCTCCTCAAAATTAGAATGTTGGTAATGCATCACTTTATTTCATGTGTCTCAAACAAAAACTTTTTTGAGGTCCTTAGAGTATTTTAAAACAACTGCTAATGGGTGGAAGACCCGGGATAGGTTATAGACTTTCTGTAGATAGGGCCCTTTAGGCACTAGAACGTCCAGTTCTTGAGATAGGTAGGTGTTTAGAAGCAAAACACAGCAATTTTGCTTTATTTGTGTGTAAAACACCACCAAAGTGACGCACAGGACTGCTTTGAGGCGGAAGACCTGGAGGACTGCTTGTAGAATAGGTCTAACTTGCTAATCATGAAGTATTTGGAAATGTGTTTGCGATACAGATGTCGAAGTGCAAAACAAAAATTTCGCCGTCATTTCATGAAGATGTGATGTTTTATAAAGTAG